TTTTGTAAAATGTTTTCCAAGCAGCCCCTGGTTTTAACTTACTTTAGGTATCTCTAAACAAAGATTCCAAATAGTTGGTGCCTGACATGAAGGTAAACTAATTCTACATCAGTTAATCTGCTGTGACAGCAGACAAACTACAGGAGATGGGCATATACCGGGGAATTGCTATAGGTGGTTGGTAACTGGAGACCTGCTGCAGGAGAGAGTCAAAGATTTGGGAGCAAGTTTCACAGGACTGCTAAGTAGTAGACAAAGTAGTAGTGACTTAGTTGTATTTAGTAAGACTAAGTAGTAGTGATCATTGTGATTGCAGCCCATTTACAAATGAATGCTCTTATTCCCAATACTGACAGCTTTGACCTAATGGTTGCCCAGCATGTAGCAAAAGGCTGCAGGGTGGTTACCACTGCTCTTGCTGCACTGCCTAATCTTAGACATACACATCCCACAACAGTGAAACTTTTTTTTCCAGCATATCCCAGAGAAACTCGATTGGATTATGATCTGGAGAATCTGGAGGCTAAGTCAACATCTCAAACTCATTGTTGTGTTCCCCAAACTATTCAACCGTTTTTTTTTTTTCAGTGTAGCAGAGTGCTTTATCCTAAGCGGCCACTGCCATCAGGCAATACCGTTTCCATGAAGGGGTGTACTTGGTCAGCAGCAATGTCTGGGTAGGTGGTACTTGTCAAGTAACATCCACATGAATGGCAGGACCCAAGGTTTCCCAGCAGAACATTGACCAAAGCATCACACTGCCTCCGCCAGATTGTCTTCTTCTCATTCTGCATCCTCGTGTCATCTCTTTCCCAGGTAAGCAATGCACACACACCTGACCATCCACATGACATTAAAAAGAATGTGATTCATCAGACTAAGCCACCCTCTTCCATTGCTCTTTGTCCTGATGCTCACGTGCCCATTGTAGGCACTTTTGGCTGTGGACACGTATCAGCCCCATACACAGCAAACTGCAATGCCCATTTTTCTGCTTTCAACACATGAACTTCAGGGACATGTCTAATATATCCCTCTGACCTTCAGATGCCATAAAGTTATGGCTGGTTGGTGTATATAAATATATGTATAAATAGCGTGGTATTATGCTACTTTATGACCATAATAAGAAAAAAGTGCATGTAAATATTAAATGTTAAATAAATAAATATTTTGCAACAGACTTTTTTTTGCAATCCTAAAATAACCTCTAACATTCAAAACTTCAATGCACATTTATCTAAAACTTTTTCTTGCCAGTTTAAAAGATTTGGTAGCAAGTATGTAGAATATTCATGATGTTTCACATCATTATCGAGTCATTATAAGCATCTTCCATCTTCCACCATGAGCTGCTTATATCCGACAGACAGTTCTAAACTCAGTATAACAATGATTCATGTTGTGCTAACTTGAGCTAATGAAGAATTACATAATGGATAAGGTACTAGAAAATATTTATTCTACACTCCAGCTGCAATTGTTTCAGCAACTGCTGAATATTTAACTGTGGCTTTTTACAGATTAAGGCCTGTTTTGAAGTATATGTCATTAGCCGTGATTGTGCAGTCTCTTATTTGCTTGATTGTGTCTGTGATTTATTTGCTGGGAAGACGGTGGCACGCTGAGATGTTCAAAGTGACGTGTTATTAGAAAGCCGGCGGTAAGGGCTTTTATTTTCAATATTTGATAAACAGAATTTTTAACTGATGAGATGAATAAGTCGTAATTGCTAATCAGCGGCCATATATGCTAACCATTATGTTCAGTTCTACCTAATCCTCCTATTGATATTATGTTATATTGTAATAAATAGCAGCTGTTGAGGAAGGGCAGTAATCAAAATGTTCTGGCAGACAAGGTCTGTGTTGAGAAAATGATGGCCATTGCTGACATCTCCTTCTAAAAATGTTAGCCAGATAGCTGTCCTGCTAATGTAAGAGCTTCAATACTTCCTGAGATACTAATCTGGGAAAAATCATGTAGATTAGGTTTTCTGACATTGCTAGGACTTCACTGACAACATTATTTTTTACAAGTCAGTGACTTAGTAAACAATGAAGTCAGTAGACCAATACGAAAACTATGCAATGAGCATTCCCAGAAGTAGATGAACAATTACGGCACCTTCGTTTTGCATAGTGTAGGTTTCCTTTGACCACTTGCCCTTCAGAGGATTTACCCTCCTTCCTGACCAGGCCATTTTTTGCGATACGGTGCTGCATTACTTTAACTGACAATTGCGCGGTTATGTAACGCTGTATATAAATTAAATTTATGTGCTTTATTCTCTCACAAAATAGAGCTTTGTTTCAGTGGTATTTGATAACCTCTGCGTTTTTTTTTTTTGCGCTATAAACAAAAAAGACTGATCATTTTAATTTAAAAAAATATTTAATTTGCTATAAAACATATCCAGCAAAAAAAAAAAAAAACGTACAAAATCAAATTTAGTCATACATTTAGGCCAAAATGTATTCTGCTACATGTCTTTGCTAAACAAAAATCCCAATACGTGTAAATTAATTAGTTTACGTGAAAGTTATAGTGTTTACAAATGGCGGTATATATATTGGAATTTTGTTTTTTAATACTAGTAATGGCGGCGATCAGTGACTTATAGTGGGACTGCAGGACTGCGGTAGGCATTTTGACACTGGGAGGAAACTGGCTTACCGCCACTGACATCCCAATGACACTAATACAGTGATCAGTGCTAATAAAAAGCACTGACACTGTACTAATGACACTGGGCAGAAGGAGTTAACATCTGGGGTGAACAAAGAGTTAACTGTGTGCTGTTTTACATAATGTGCTGGGTGTGTTTTACTAGGGAAACATGATGCTGTGTATTTCTCTGCTGTGCAGAGAAATACATAGCAGCATGTTCTTGCTGGCAGGAGAGAGACCTGTGTCAGTGTTACTCAGCGATCGCTGGGTGCCGGCAAGGAATCTCCGGCCAGGATCTGGTGATTGACAGTCGTAGCCACCAATGGCAGCGCGGGCAGGTTGGCACCCGCACGCCCCCTCCCCAGAAATGCAAATCATGTGTATATATACATACATTCTACTATAGGGCAGCAGGGACGCGGTTAAACATTATAACTTCTTTGATAAAATTAAAATGAAATTGTATACAGTATATTATTGCTTTTGTAGCAGACAATTCTCTAATTAAATATCCGATATCCAGTTCCCTTGTATTTAAATACATTTGCATGAACTATAAGAGACATTACTGATACCATGATAAAGTAAGAGAAAAAAAATTTGAAAATCAAGTGTTTTAGTCATCCAGCATTAAGACCAAATAGTAGAAAAAGCAAAGGATATGACACATCTTTAACTCATCCATATAATAACTTATAACAGATGTCCTACTATGATAGTTCATATTTGTTGATAAATCAGTACAGACTGCTGATAAATGTTTAATAATTATGTCTACGGAACATTTTCTCAATAATAAACTGCTCGTAAATTTCAAAGCATTTAATAGAGGATTGTCTAAACAGGCACGGCAACTGTGATGAGTATCCAAAATAATATAATGCTATTAACATAGCAGGCCATGCTGCTTATCCTCTTAGCTAAAGTTACTGTTTCCCTTGTTCTTTAACAATCCCCCAGCTACCCTTGGCAGGACATCAAATGACTATTGTTTTTACCAATATCTGTTTTTCATTATAGATTATTAAAAAGCTGGATTGTTTTTCTGCTTTAAAGTCATTTATATAGTTAGAGTATATGTGAACCCTCACCTTGTAAAACAACCCTTTCAGTTAAAAATAGAAAATTAAAAGGTAAAACATTTCTGTAATAAACATTTTAAACACCTTTTTTTCCCTTTTTTTTTTAATTACATACCCTCTGTTCTCAGCCGCATAAGGAGCTCAGAGAGCAAGGGAAGGAGAAACAAAAGAACACTGGTCTTCCCAATGAGTATCTGTGCAGGGGGCCATGTCATCAGAAGTCTGGTCATTGGGAAGCGACAGGCTGAAATCCCAGCACAGCCAGAAAACTGATCATACTGAGCTCTCGTGTCTAGAGTGGTCAGTTTTTAATAGGGAAACAAAGGCACTGGAAGGGATTTTACACAAAGTAAGCAACACAAGGAGAATAGGATACTTTTTCATAGAAGTACATTGTACAGTAGTCACATATCAGGAATATAAAATGTTGGGTTTACACATTGTTTAATGGTATATTCATTCATTAAAATAATCATTTTTTTTATGTGGCTAGAGCCTATAGCTAGATATATTTTTGTGTACTAATCACTCTTTCAACACTCAGTAACACCACTGAAATTTAAACTTGTTTCTTTGTCCAGAAAACATACCGTATTTTTCGCTCCATAAGACGCACCTGACCATAAGACGCACCTAGGTTTTAGAGGCGAAAAACAGGAAAAAAAATTCTGAACCAATGGACTGCAGACATAGTACAGGAGATGACCAGAGACTGCGGACACAGTACAGGAGATGACCAGAGACTGAGGACATAGTACAGGGGATGATGCGGACCAGAGACTGCGGATATAGTACAGGAGATGGCCAGAGACTGCGGACATAGTACAGGGGATGAGACTGTGGGACACAGTACAGAGATGACCAGACACTGCGGACATAGTACAGGAGATGACCAGAGACTGCGGACACAGTACAGGAGATGGCCAGAGACTGTGGACACAGTACAGGAGATGACCAGAGACTGCGGATATAGTACAGGAGATGGCCAGAGACTGCGGACATAGTACAGGAGATGACCAGAGACTGCGGACATAGTACAGGAGATGGACAGAGACTGTGGACCAGTACAGAGATGACGAGACTGCGGACATAGTGCAGGAGATGACCAGAGACTGCGGACACAGTACAGGAGATGACCAGAGACTGAGGACACAGTACAGGGGATGACCAGAGACTGCGGATATAGTACAGGAGATGACCAGAGACTGCGGACATAGTACAGGAGATGGCCAGAGACTGCGGACATAGTACAGGAGATGGACAGAGACTGCGGACATAGTACAGGAGATGGCCAGAGACTGCGGACATAGTACAGGATATGGCCAGAGACTGCGGACACAGTACAGGAGATGACCAGAGACTGCAGACATAGTACAGGATATGGCCAGAGACTGCGGACATAGTACAGGAGATGGCCAGAGACTGCGGACACAGTACAGGGATGACCAGAGACTGAGACATACTACAGGAGATGACCAGAGACTGCGGACACAGTACAGGAGATGACCAGAGACTGTTGACATAGTACAGGAGATGACCAGAGACTGTTGACATAGTACAGGAGATGACCAGAGACTGCGGACACAGTACAGGAGATGACCAGAGACTGCGGACACAGTACAGGAGATGACCAGAGACTGCGGACATAGTACAGGAGATGACCAGAGACTGCGGACATAGACCATGACCAGAGACTGCGATGACCATTCACAAAGCAAAAAGCGCATGTGCAGTGGTCACCCGGCTGTCACAGAAGCCAGCGCGGGAAGACTGTGCAGCGCTGGAGCGAGGAACAGGTAAGGCCCTGCAGGAGACAACAGCTGAGCGGCCGGCCCGGTATTCTGACATGGTGGCGGCAGAAATACCGGACCGGCCACTTTATATTCGCTCCATAAGACGCACTGACATTTTCCCCCCTTTTTTGGGGGGAAAAAGTGCGTCTTATGGAGCGAAAAATACGGTACATTATATTTAGAAACCCTTTTAAAGTGTTTGTAAACTTTAGACATTAAAAGCATATCCCTTTAAGTGTCATTTATGTCTGCTGCTTCATTCTTCTGCTATCAGAATGTGTCACTTCTGACAAGTTTTCCTGATACCAAGAGAAAAAATGGTAACAGGGGAGGAACCTCCAGCAGATTGACAGCCTTATCTCTGTACCTGTGTGCTGTGTGAAGGGAGGTGTGTCTCTACCTTCCAATCAACTTTCAGAGCTCTTCTCACTGAGCTCTGTGGAGTGTAACTTCAGTTCTCCATCCCTTTTTCTGGCAGCTCAGACAAGCTTTAAAATTGTGCACTTTGAATGGTTGTAGATAAAAGAAGACTACAGCTAGGCAGTTACCGATTATATAGGATGATTTGTTTCAGTTCTGTGTATTACCTGAGGTCAATCACTTCACTTGGTATATGTGAGGGTTTACAACCACTTTAACCACTTCAATACCAGGCACTTTTACCCCTTCCTGCCCAGGCCAATTTTCAGGTTTCAGCGCTCTCACACTTTGAATGACAATTGCGCAATTGTACCCAATCATTTTGTTCACACAACTAGAGCTTTCTTTTGGTGTTTTTTTCTAAATTAACAAAAAAAAAAAAAACTTTAAAACACTTTAAAAAAAAAAACAAGTTTTTCTTTGTTTCTTTTATACAGGTTTGCAAATAAATAATTGTTATTCATAAATATAGGCCAAGATGTATTCTGCTACATTTCTTTGGTGAAAATAACCCAAATCAGTATTTATTATTGGATGGCATGAAAGGAAGCCATCCATTGTTTACAACTGTCATGTGACCTGCTGTGGTTGGTCACAGCAGGTCACATTGTACTGGCAATGGGGCCAGTACACAGATCTGTCTTTGCCTGTGTCCGAGGTACACAAACAGTGACAGATCTTGCCACAGCATGGCCCGGGAAGGACATCATATGATGCCCTCCTGGATCGATGAGAGTCCCACCATTTTCCTGTAGGCCGGGCGGGAAGTGGTTAAAGAAAACAGTTCAGTGATTAACTGCTGTATGAGTTTTACCACCGCTTATGCCTACTGCCATTGTCACATTGAACTGTGACAATATTTTGATTCAAAATGATGAGAACTATTATCATTATAGTTATAAGAGAACCACGGTCAAAAGCATTTGGACACTTGACCATCACACCTTTATAAGCTTGTTGGACATTCAGTTTTAAAACCATGTATACCCATGGCTATAACAGCCTCTACTCTTCTAGAAAGTATTTTCACAAGATTTTAGATGTGACTGTGGAAATGTGCAGTTAGTTGGTGAAAAGAGCACTTGTGAAGTCAGGTACTGATGTCGGACAAGAAGACTTGGCTCATAATTGGTGTTTTATTTCAGTCAGGCATTCAGTTGAGTTGAGGTCATGCCACTCAAGGTCCTCAATGCCAAACTCAACAAACCAAGTCTCTTTGGAGCTGGCTTTGTGCACATAGGCACAGTTATGCTTGAATAGAATAGGACCTTCCTCAATCTGTTGCCTCAGGGTTAGAGGTGCACAATTGTCTAAAAAATTTTTTGTATGTTGTAGCACTAAAGTACATCTAAATGTTCCTGTGTGGCAGTCTAAAAGAGATATCCAGTTATTTTGTGATGCAATTTTAAGAACCATAAAAAAAAAAAACTTTATTTTGGTGAAAAATTATTTTGAAAAACACCCCCTGGTATTTCTGGAAGTGGCCATCTTGAGTAAGGGCAGATGATTTATGTAGCACCACTTCACTTGAGACACCCACATTCATCTTCATTTGTGTTTCACATGGTTCTACTTCTGGACACTGCAGCTCACAGCGTGAGAGCTTCAGGACAGAAATAATTTTGCCAATTAAAAAAGCAGTGAGGCCAGGTGTTGATTAGAAATCTACAGGTTTGTCAGTCAGCTGTAACAATGCTGATAACCATACCCTCTGTAACATCTTATTCGACTTTAGTGCAAGTAAGCATACTTCATATCAGAAAAAATGCAACATTGAAGTCAGAAGCAGTGCAGCATAGTTGTCCCTCATCACAAGAAGCTGAATTAGGTGCATTTCAGTGGCAGGATCAACAAGTATTTGGAAGATTTTGCAAGGGGGATAAAAGAAAAAATGGTAAATGCAAACGCAATTATGATTAAGTGCTGTAGCACATATAGGAGGGCATAGTTCTATTTACCAGGACTTTTCACTGAAAACCTCTGAACTCTTTAACTTGGAAGGGGTTCCACATACTTGTCAAAAGGAAAATTATAGCTCAGAATATGTAGCACTGTATTAAATAAATAGAACAAAAGTAATGTAAAAATTATGCTGAAGTTTATCTTTTTCTTATAGGATTCTTTTTTTTTCTTATTCAGGTCTACAGGAGAAAGTTAGAAAAAAATATAACCCCCAGGTTACCCTGCATGCACTGCTTTCCTTCTGAAGGTATTGTGAGCTGCATGGCTTGTGGTTACAGTGAAGTTAGGGTTATTCTAGTAATTTATTTTCTCTCAATATATAAAGGTATTTCTATTTATACAGAAAGGTTGGCAAAGCCCCAGGTTTAAATCTAGACACTGGCTCTATGACCTGCATGAGTGGAGCTAACATTCTGCAACTGCTCCTCTCAAATCTACTTTACATTGCTGCACATCTATTGACTTATTTGATGATGATGGAAGTGGTGGTGGTTGGGGGGGAGGGGGCACATACAACATTATAATTCCAAAGTACACTTGACCTTTAAATAACATTGTAATTCATTTTATATTATGTAAAATATTTGTTTTATGCTTTTTAATTATATTATGCAATTAATGAGTAGCATTATGCAGATTATTTATGCGTGATGTAAAATGTGTATTAGGTAATGAACGTACTAAAATAAAATGTCTGAATAGCTGAAAGAAAAAAAAATCCATTACTACATTTTCTTTCTTTGAGCAACAGTTGATTATCAGATCTAAGTGCTCCTGTTTTATGAAACATCTCTGTGTGATGAAATTCCATTTGCATTGTTCTGCTTCTAACATTGTCTTGTGTGTGTAATGTTAAAACTGGGAAAAGATGAAGAAGGTAATTTTTTATTAAAAGATGTATTATTCTGTATGATCTGCATGTATGATAATATCATAAGACTGAATTCAATTCTTTTAGGAACTTAAAAGAATCTAAAAAGATATAAAGGAGGACTGTGCATGGTTTGTTTACAGCATGCTTTCTGGGTCCAGACTATTAACAACTTATTATTATCCATAGTTGCAGTGGGGTGGCTGAAAGATGGATACATTGGGGTTCATTTACGAGTAGAACGCTCACTTAGGCAAACCAGTGGTCTCTTCAAATGCCAAGTGTTGAGAAGAAAAAAAAGAAAAAGAATAGAAATTCCCCTTGAGCCTCATTGGATTAGTGCAATGAAGCAGCTTGGCAAGGCTATGCGAATATTTGACTGCATTAGTCAAACAACCCATGTCAATACCTGGCTGCTATTGATTAGAGAAAACTAACACTTTTGATATCTTGGACATGTTCAAACATCTGTCTCTACACAACACAAAGTTCTGTTTTAAAAGCCACACAACATTTATTCATGGATACATTTAATTAATGCATCAATAGGAAAACAAGAAAAGGTGAGAAGCGACATTGTTATAACATAACTTCTTGAGCTACCTGGAGTTAAAAAGAAGGGTTTATTAGGGCTCCAGAGCAAGCATGTATCTGGAACTCAGCTGCTAGAACCACACTGGGGCTGGCAAACATGGAACCATGGTTGCCAAACTAAAATGTAGTTTATTTCAGACAGCTGGCCAAAAATCACAGGCAGCCACAACATTAACGCTGACAGTGTGTCATACTTTACTAATGATATCATTGCATGTAACTGCTGTGTGTCTGGGCAGGTTGGCAAAAACACCATAGAAAGTTGTCTGGGTTTGAAAATGCCCCCCTCCTATATGTCAATGAATCCTCAAACACATGTTTTTTTATTGTGCATAGATAATAGTTATGGTAAAATATTTCAACTGGCTGATACTGAAATGCAGGAAAACATGCATGATATATTTTTTACCCAGTTATTGTCTACAATCTTTATAGGCTTTAGTCTACAGAGGCTTAGGTAATTGCAATTCTATTGCAGTGGTATTAGTGCACTTCCAATGACACCGTTAAATACTATTATTATACAGGATTTATATAGCACCAACAGTTTGGAAATATAAAGGGAGACAGTACAGTCACAATACAAGTCCATATAAAAGGAACCAGAGGGATCTGCTTGTTAGAGCTTACAATGTAAAAGGGAAGGTCAAGTGATACAAAAGGGAGTAACAAGGGGGGCAAACAAATGACAACCACCCTAATCTATTACTAGCTTTTGCAGCATGGAGCACATAGAAAGGTGATGCAAGTCAAAAAAAATTAAACAAAAATTCCCTTCCATGTGCTCTTTGCTGCAAAGGGCAGTTAGGTTAGGTTCACATCTGTGCGGGTGGTGCCGCTGCGGATCTGCACAAAAATATGTGCAGCCGCACCACCCGCATAGAGGAATGCGGACCCACGGGGGGTGCCAATAATTCTAATGGCACACCGCCCGCACTAGAAATCACAACTGTACTGGGAACCTCGGTTCTCATGCGGGCTGCG